CTGCCACCACTTGCTGTCCTTTTTCCACCCCCAGTAACACCAGAGCGTGCATATCACCCACTCCATCTCCCTCCTGCATACTCTAACACCCCTATAATTGTCCTTTTCCATTTTCCTTTCAACCCCTCCTCTTCTTCTTCTCCATCTCCCCCATCTGCCACTAATCTCGTCTCTTCTTCATCCCACATTTCTCCTCCCCCCTTTTAAGTCTTTGCCCTCCTTAACTTTCCTGCACTTCCTTTCTCCCTTTCAACCCCCAGTGGAAGTGTAAACACTTTAGACAAACTGAGGTTGGAGGCAGAGGACAGAGAGAGAGGAGATTTATAAACTAGAGGTGACCACAGCTGTCCAGGTTCAGGGATCCTGGCCTCAACAAACAGAGGAGAAGCCACTGAGGAGCTATAATAACACAATGGAAAATATCCTTCTTATTATGTCTCACCAGATTTGTCGGATTTGTGTTCTTCTACACAAGATTGCGAAGGCTGCTAAATAAGGTTTTCTTGAGGACACGTTGAATGGGAAAATAAAAACCTCTCCAAAGAGCAGGAAAGGATAAACTCCAAAACTAGACATTTAATGTAGTCAGCATCACATAAGATTACAAAGGAAACCAAATTTAACATATATGAAATTTATATCAGCCTTTTTCACTCACCTAAGGTACCACAAGGTTTGTTCTTGTAGGTGCAGATGTCATACCTAAGAACAGGCAAAAAGAAGAAGAAGAAGGTCAGAATACTCAAACTGTTTATGTTTAATCACAGTCTGGTCAGGTATAATGTCACCTTTAAATCTTTCCCTTGTAAAGACAACCTCCCCTGTACCCTAATGGCTAGTTTTGACCCTCAGTATATGTTTGTTGACTATTAGAATAGCTTCTGGGTTTTTCCAAACATAGCTGCATAAGCAGAGACCCTCACTAACTTCTGTTATACACCCAGTCATTTTGTTTTATAAGCAGCCCTAAATATGACTGAAAATGCTCAGTCCAGAAAAGAGCTTCAAGTGTTACTCCTAACAATATCATATACTAGCTTGGGTTGTCAAGTCAATGGATATCCACTGATTGCACTAAATTTTTTTCCCATTCAGCAAGGGATTTCAAGTGGTCACGAGAACCTGGTCGTTAAGCGCGCAACACGCTCAATGGGCGATCGTGGCTCAAAAGTTGGGTGTTCGTCTTGTAATTGGAAGGTTGCCGGTTC